GTTCTGAACCGCCGCCGTCCTTTTAGTGATTGCTGTAATGGGCCAAAAACATGATAATTGCAAGGAGACAGGTCGGGACTGGAAGGCGGATATTGTACTCGTAAGACTTCCCACTTCATACAACTGAGCAGTTCTTGAGTCACCTGGGCTACATGGGGTGGTGCATTATCATGCAGAAGAATTTAGCGGATTCTCTTCCTTGTCGAAATTTATTGCACCATTCAACCACTGTCGTATGAGAATAGCTATAGTCATCATATACAGGATACAGCTTTCATTCTCGTATAAATTTCCATTAGCTGACGTGCTTCAGCGACCAAAAACAGAATAACAGAACGCAAGTTATCTTTGGATGGATTTTCAATCATGGATGCCATTTTCAAACTCAGTCCAAACACTTAGAAAAGAGCAAACTGCAAATAGTGTTGACAGACGCGTTAATAGCGCTTAAACTAACAATCCAAACAAATGAATTCGGTTGCCATGACGACCAGGTCTTGGCTGCATAGATCAAACGTGTTTCTATTGAACAATCCTCGTACAAAGCGAATAAAGTCTATTAGAAATAAACATAAGGAAAAACTTATTTTACACACATTTCATGTCCAGCTCCTATTTCAGAATGTCGACTTTTTTTCGGTTTCATATTTCATTTCAAAGCTCAAGTGTCATATTTCATTTTCAAGGCCAACTTTTTTCGATAATCGATTCCCTTGGGTTTCTATAAAATGTAACACACGTGAAAAAATTACTTGCACCCAACAAAAATTCGTTCTACATCAAATGAGATTACTTGACGTTGCAGTAGCTACCAAAGCAACACCAAATAGTAATAAACGCCGTGCGACCTTGACCTACTTTCCAAGGTCATTCCCAGGAGGCATAAAATATGACACGACCTTGAAAATGAAATGACACAAAAAGTTAACCTTGAATATGAAACATGACACCCCATTTTACTAATTCTTATGGTGCCGAATTGCATTTGTAAAGAAAAACATACAGGTCACACATTACCTACTAAGAAACGATGAAGTGCTCGAAGACAACGAATGGAAACGAGTCCCAGAACATCAATCTGTCAGTTAAGTGCCCAAGCTGGTAAGTGATACACGTAGAATGATATACCTACTAACTTTATTTTCCAATTACAGGAGTGTCTTATGCAACATGCCAACGAATTTTGCATAAAGATCTACGTATACACACACCCGTACCGGGTTTCTGTTCTTTCAGTTGCACGCTCTTGATGATGAGAATCAACGTAATTATTGTGATGGATTTACTAACAATTTGAATAACGACTTATTTGTAAATTAGAAATAGATTATTACGCCTGGAGTGATTCTACATACACCACTGGAATTAGACAAATAATCTATTATTACCAACCTTTAAAACTTGTTGTTTTGCGGGAAATTCAAATTGTCATCAGTTCTAATGAATCACCCGGTATATGTATATCCATGGTAAATATCGACTGTTTACAACATTTTCCTATATAAAAGTTGTTTAACATTTTATTTCCCATAATAAGGCAGTATTCTATTGCTTTTATTTCAGAAAACAAATGAATAACGAAAAACAATTGAATTTTTTTAAATAGCAATGTACACTTATTAGGCTCATTTGATAGATATTTTTTTCCTCTTTTCAATGGCGTAACTACGAAAGCGTAGAGCGGACATAGATAAAATATTTTACTAATTTCAAGGTATAACTCGAAATTAAGGCTAGCTTCGAGTTACAAGCCGAAATTAAGACCAGCTTCGAGTTACTACTCGAAATTAAGGCCAGCTCCAAGTTACAACTCGACATTAAGACTAGCTTCGAGTTACAACTGGAAATTAAGGTCAGCTTCGAGTTACAAGTCGAAACTAAGGTTACGTATTTTGTTCTTAGTATCTACGACCCGCAAAAATGTGAAAAGCCCCTTATTTTCCGTCGTCTCTGTCTGTCTGTTTGCCTGTCCGTCCGCCTGTCTTCCGTCTTTCTCTTCCTCTAGACCACCTATTGTATGGCAATAAACAAAATTTCTGTCCATCCGCCCTCCTGTCTGTCCGTGGACATTATAATCCAACTCATCGCCTATCTATCGACTTCTGGTTTTTGTTGATAGCCCACATATTGTAGTTGTCCAACTATATGAGAAATGATTTGTCGGTCTGGCTGTCTTTCCATCGATCCACGTAACTCGTTCCTATTTGCAGAACGGCTTTTCTTAGCTTTTACGCACATGCCAAAAGTCATTTTCTGCGCATTTGTGCATGTACAGAATGTCTATTATTTGTGGAAGGATGAAATTTTCATGGTAGCTTCTTCTAGTTAAAACATTTTCCAATTCTGACTCAAGTGACTAATCTTCACCACATAAATTGCAAAACCAATTTTCTTGGTCTAATGGCCACTTGGGCATCATTGAGGACATCTTGGATAACAACAATTTTCTCACCATCAAAAACTCGTGTACAATTAAAAAGTAACTTATTTTTAGGATCTTCATTTACCTTTGCATAACTCGCCGGAGGATTTCCTCAACACATTCTCAGCCACAGGTAACATATTTGAAGTAACTCAGACCTCGACCGCCATAGTTGAAAATATATTGTCAAGTGAAAAATTGGTTTTACATAGGGGACAAATATTTCAGGAACTAGAAGCTACAAAAAATTAGATTAATAGTGTTCAAATAGAGATAATTCTACCAAACGGAAAACCGGAACTTGCTGAAGATGTTGGTGATGTTTTTCGAGATGTTTTATCCGAATTCTTGACTACATTTTACGAGAACTGCACTGAAGGTACTGACTATAAAGTACCTATTATACGCCATGATTTTGGAATAAAAGAATGGGAAGCAGTCGCTAAAATTTTAGTTGGGGGTTATAGAAAAGAAAAATATTTTCCTATTAGGATAGCACCGGTTTTTTAAGCAATGTTTTAAGTAAATTGTAAATAAAGTCAAATTAGTTTCTTCTTAACTTCTTATGTTAGTGAAAGTGACAAAAATGTGTTAAATGATTTTCAAAGCGTGGATCTTGACGACTTATACAGTGTATGCACGTTATTTAAGGCGAAATGGGTACCAGGTAAAGAAAATATACGAAGTTTAATTGAACAAATTGCGGAACAGAAAATTCTACAGCGTTCTGACTTTATTGTGCAATGTTTTACACAGGAATTACTTTCGATAGCAAGATCTGTAAATTTAGATGAATTACATGGTATTTGGATGAATTATATAAAAGTTTATCTCCGTCCGTAAAAAATGTTCTCTTGTTTTGAGAAGAAATTCCTCGGACTTAGAAAATCATTTTCTTTTAAAATACATAAAAGAAAGCGATGAGAAAACGCGTTGTGCTCTGCTGCGGTTCTGCACTGGCTCCAATCTTGCCAACCAGAAAATAAATGTTGATTTTATTGAGTGACGGTTTTGCGGGTGTACCAATTGCACATACCTGCAACAAGCTGTTGCAACTTCCAAAATCTTACAAAAGTTTCGTAGAGTTTAGAAGTGAAGGCGGGTCCCCGTGTGCGTAAAATTTAGGCGTAAACGTATCGGCGTAATTACATAAACATAAACAAAAGGACTTTAACCTAACATATTTGAATTTTTATGATAAAAAAATGGAAAGTATCAACTGTAGAATACTTTTGTGTTCAATTGGGGCACTAGTTATTAAAATGAACCGTTGTTATCCAGTGCAAAAGTATTCCTTACAACAACAAGTTATAAAGCTTTACAAATTGTATAAATTAGTTCAGAAATATCATAAAACCAATAAGAGAATGTGGGTAAGAGATGTATTTAAGGAAGAACAGCGACTATTACAAGGTACCAGTAGTAATTTGATTATGGAAATGCGAAGGACAGATAGAAACAAATTTTTCAATTTTTTACGAATGGCTCCAGAAACATTTGACCTGTTGCTGTCAATAGTAGGGCCCTATGTACAAAAAAAATTGTTAATAAGAGAACCCATACCTGCAAAAGTACGACTAGAGATAACATTAAGATATTTAGCATCCGGGGATAGTATGACTTCATTGTCCTACAATTTCCGAGTCGGTAAACAAAGTGTTTCTAGAATTATATTTGAAACTTGTAATGCAATTTGGGAAGGTTTGAAGAACAAAGTATTTTATGATCCTACAGACGCCTATTGGAAAACAATAGCTCAAACTTTTGAAGAGAAATGGAATTTCAAACATTGCATTGGAGCTATAGATGGCAAGCATGTTAACATACAGGTATAATAAATTTAGCACAATAACAATATCTAAGCAATTACTTGTATAAATTTGGATATAGAAATTGCAATTAATTGTTGCAGGCACTTCCCAAATCTGGCTCAGCCTATTACAACTACAAGGGCACACATTCTATTAATTTGCTTGCCATTGCTGATGCAGACTACAAGTTTATAATGGTAGATATTGGAGCTCCTGGTAGGATGAGTGACAGCGGAATATTTCGTGATAGTCGACTAGGCATGGGATTTGAACAAAATAACTTCCATTTACCACCACCAGAAGATAATTTAATAGTAATAGTTGGTGATGAGGCATTTCCTCTTACCAACTATTTAATGCGCCCATATCCAAGAAGAGGAGACCTAGATTTGCGTAAAAAAGTTTTTAATTATAGACTAAGTAGGGCTAGAAGAATTGTTGAGAATGCTTTTGGTATTCTAGTTTCTAAGTGGCGAGTTTTTCGTAAACCGATAATAGCTAGTGAAGATACAGTTAGAAAAATTGTACAAGCTTGTGTCTGTTTGCATAACTTTCTACTAATGCAAATCGCTGAGTCACAAAATTATTCAAGATGTGAGGAAACAAATGAATCAGTCACTACTGATGGGTTATCAAATATTAAAAGAACTGGAACAAATACCTTTAGCAGACGTGCAGCACAATATAGAGAATTGTTTGCTGATTACTTTTGTAATGCAGGAGCAGTTGAATGGCAATGGCAGAAGGCATTGAATAATGAATACTAATTATAAAAATACAACTATATTTTATTATTGGTTATCGCCCAAATTCACTTCAGTCTCATACACAAGTTGTATAATTTAAATTTCTAATTTGCTTCGCTCTCTGTAGGGCAACTTTCGCAGACTTTCACCGAGACGCAGTAGAAATCCATACACACCATCTAGTTTAATTGGGGCGGATACCGCTTCCAAAATTTCTTTTTCTAGATCTTTCGAATGGTCAGTTTTTCTTCCTAAAAATAAAAAAGTACTCGAAATTATTTGTTTATTCAAGATTCTAACTACAAGAACCTTACTGTTTTTGATCTTTATAGATGTGAAATCATATGGATTACATTTAATTTTATGAATTTTATATTTCTAGTATTTCGATGACTTGATTTGAATAAAAAAATGAATTTATTATTTTTTATTGAATTCACAGGGCTACTTCTAACTATAAAATTTATATTTATATGAGTGAAATGAAAATAAACACAAATCTTACTCTTTGGTATCGGACGAATGCTTTCCCTAGAAATGTCAGGAGATGTCATCGGGCTTGGGGTTGGAGTGATTCCATTTGGACCTGCGATGGCAATGTCTGGGACTGAACAGACAGTCCTATAAAAGCAATCATAAGTATTGTATTCTACTTCAGCACATTTTCGTACCTTTGAGTGCTAGTAGTGTCATCATTAAGGAAGGTCATTAGCGCATAGTGCCTAAATCCCGGATCAACTTTTTGCAAAGCACCAGAACCACTTGGAATGTATTGTGTTACTTTTTTCCTTGCTCTAATATAGCAGTCCCTCAAGTACTTCCATTTTTTCTGGAGGTCTTCTATTGTATACTTTCCTCCAAAAAGATTGAATACCTCCATCCAAAGGGCATTCTTTTTTCCTACTGTCCGTTCTGACAAAGGAAGAGTGATATTGTACAGAGCTGGACGATCCTGCACATATGTTATAAGAAGCTCCTCAAATGACTCTGTTGGGGCATCTTTCGTGACGGAACTGGACCCTACCACTGTACTTGTTCCTTTTTCCACTGGAATAAAAAATACTGTATAAAGAAATTTGGTTACATATCTATTATTAATTTACCAATAGTCAAAACCTTTTTGTTGTCTTCTACTAAATCATGTTCACCTTCCACGAATATATTTAGGAGACAGTCATGTTCGAGCAAGTTCTCACAGAATGAATTGAGAAAAAACCCGCAATATCCACACTTGTACATCTAGTAAAACAAAAAGTAGTATTAAGAAATGGATGCACCTCAACATTGTTGCAAAAAAAAAAGCAAGTAGATAAAGTTTTGTACGTAATTTAGATTATAAACTATTATTATAGTACACGCCTCGCCTGATACACGACTAGCATGTGCTATAATAATCGTTGTTATGATAAATAATTATTAATAAACGCTTACCTGATCCATAATCGTTCATCACTTGAACATAAATAAACAAAAATGCTATTTACGTTTAACTACAAAAAAATATGAAAAAAAACTCCAAAAATATAACCTAAAACACCGTAGTTACGCGGTTACGTTACGCAAAAAAGTAGAAAGCAAGTCAACTTTGTGGCGTATCCGAAGCGCAAATTTTGACAGCATAACAAATATGGCGACGCGTAATGATATGTTCACGAAAGCCAATCATATCGCTGAACGCCATACGCTTACGCGAAGATTGCGCACATGGGGACCCGCCTTGAATTCAATGCGTTAAGGTACGTTTAGACCTGATACATATTGCATGATATTTGTGTCTGACAGAAATTGTGACTAATGTAAATGGAAAAGAATTTATGTCAGAGATATTTATTTCAACTGTCAGCTATTTGTGTCGACACTTATTATCAGTAGGTGCAAACGCTGTTTAGTTGGAAGGTCAAACTCGTTCGACACACACATTTCTGGCGATTAAATTTAGTGTCGTGCAAATATGGCTGATGTTAAAAAAGAGTGGTTAAAAGCCGAAATCGAGGAATTAATTATTATGTACCAGGGCAAACCGGTATTATGGGATGTTACAAGCAACATTTATAAAAACAGGGTGAAGAAACAAGATGCCTATCAGGAAATGGCAGAAGAATTTAAAAAAAGCAAAAAGAAACAATCCGGCCAGGGCACTGACGAACTGTATGTGTCTAAATGGCCCTACTATAATTTGTTGTTATTTCTACAAGGAAGCTCGGAATGCAAAACAGCAACAGGAAATTTTGAAAAAGTAAGTGAAAATGTCTATCGGTTAAATTTATTTATTTTAGTTTAAAATCGTTTTACATTTTACATTAGTCTGTATTGCCAATTAACTTCCCCTTGGCTGCTTACAAAATATTCCCTATACTCTTCCCGTACTTTAGCGTTCCTTGAGTAGTTATTACTGCCTTGCTGCACCAGTGGTTGTAGACTTGCGGCCTCCGAATTTTCATGTCGCCATTTTCCCTGTATCATTTCTCCCGTTTCCAAATTTTCTCTATCAAAGGTACCTTCAGGAGCGTAGGTATTTGCAGAATATTTATCAGACAATAGCCAATTATGTAAACTGCAAGCAGCTAAAACTACAGACTACACGTTCTGGGGCAAGAAGAAGCGGTTTCCTTAACACTCTAAATACACTTGACATAATACCAAAGGCGTTTTCTACTATTCTTCTTGCTCGAGACAGTCTGTAGTTAAAAATTCTCATGGAACCTTTACTATTAAATGAATACGGCTTCATAATATGAGGTTGTAATGGGAATGCATCGTCCGCTACAAAAACATGTGGTACACATAATGTTCTTCCTGGTAGGAGGGGTCTTTTCTAATCCTGCTGACGCAGTTTCAATGAAATCTGCAACTCCACTGGCTCTAAAAACACCACCATCTGATACTCTCCCATTGGCTCCAACTGAGATGACAAGGAATTTGTACGCGGCATCAACAATTGCCATTAAAACAATACTATGCTGCCCTTTATAAAAATAATAACTTCCGCTATTCTCCGGAGCTTGGATAACAACATGTTTTCCGTCAATAGCCCCCAAACATTTAGGGAAGTGCCATTTCTGTTCAAAGTTGTTGGCAACACTTTGCCAATCATCTGATGTAGTCGGTGCCTGCAACAAAAATTAAAAAAAAGATTTGTTACAAGTTATACCTCACTTAATTAATTACTTTAATTATATTTTAGGACGCAACCGAAAACAACACGCCATCTGACAACCAAGGTATAATAACATTGGAACAGTCTGCCGAAGAAAATCGATCTGACGCCACACCTAAGTCGCAAAATAATGAGCCTAATCCCAGGAAGAAGAGAAAAATTGAAGTTTGTGATAAAAATAAATTAATCATGCAAAAAGCTATACACGCATTGTACGAAGAAGACGATGTCTATGATGTTTTTGGCAAATATGTTGCATCCGAAATGAGAAGTCTCTCTTCTGAATATTTACGTAAAAAAATGAAAACACAATTTCAGGAAGTTATACTGCGCATAAATGAAGAAGATGAGCTACTATCAAGCCCCACATCTCATCACAGCTATAGCAATCCAAATTCGGTTGCTTCTCAAAGCTACAGCAATCCAAATTCAGTTGCTTCTCAAAGCTACAGCAATCCAAATTCAGTTGCTTCTCAAAGCTACAGCAATCCAAATTCAGTTGCTTCTCAAACCTACAGCAATCCAAATTCAGTTGCTTCTCAAAACTACAGCAATTCATATTCAGTTGCTTCGGTTCGTGGATATGTGGGGTCTCCAGAACATTCTGCACACTATACAACTTTATTACAATCATCAGACACCTTAGCATCTTACATACAGACTCAAACTGAAAGTAATAACTCATAATCTACTTAAACAATTACCTTAATGTAATCTTCTTTTAATGCTCACATTATTGCTCTGCACACTTCAGGAACAATGAGGCTTATTGTACATTTTGGTATTCTGAATAGGTATTGTAGGCTGGTGTATGAATCACCTGTAACAAAATATAATAAACAATATACTTATTATTAATAAACTTTCAATAAAAAGAATACTTACCAGAAGCTAAAAATCGCAAAGTTAAAGCAAGTCTGTCTGTTGCACTAATAGCTTTCCTGAATTTTGTACCCTGTTTTGAAATAAGGGGTCCAATTTTACACACAAGCTTTTCAAAATCAGTAGGTTTCATCCTTAAAAAATTTGAAAACTGTGCTGGATCTTCAATACAGAGTTCAGACATTAATTGAGTGTGGGCACCGAGATTATTACGTCTCCAAATCCACTCTCGAACCCACACAGAACGTGTTTTCTTCTTTTTCATAGAATTTAATAGAATAATAATAGAGGCCGCGACTTTTCGTTTAGATGCTTTCATTATTCAAAAATAAACTGTCTGAAATGATGACCCACGACAGAAGTGTTCGCAATAATTTGTATTTAAATGTAGACAGGTCGTACATTTATTTTAAACATTTCTGTATATATAGCTTTTCGAGGACTGTCGTATACTTATCTATGACATAAATTTCTAGCAATTTGTGTCAGATGTAAACAGTCGAAGGTATTTTCTCTCTGACACTCGACATATTTTTCCGGAAAGAACTGTACCTTTACTTATATCTGGTGTATGAGTAATGGATATAATATAGAAAGGTTTCTTCTAAGTTTTTATATGTTACTATTTTTTAGGCATTTGGGTGCTAATGTAGTATGCGGTCTACCTATACCGGTTGTTCGATTTAGTAATGCAGCATGCGGTCTGTCTTCCCATTCCGTGTAATATAAAAATGCAAAAAATTCCTATAGACGTTCTGACTACACCTAATAGGTAATCGATTAGATTTTCACCATTATAATTAAGTATCCATTTTCTTGCAATAAATTCATATATAATACAAATAATGCATTTTAATGATTAGACCTAATAGCAAAACAATTTGATGTCGACTATGATAATTAAGTAGGTACCCACTTTCTTTTCTGTGACGAGCCCTTAATGATACAATAATATCATAAATTGAGCGAAAATGCCCTCTTCTGCTCAGTTTAAATCATTTTGGCGAAAGAGTAACTTCGAAGATGCTGATGAAAGATTTTTACAACACCGTAATTCCTTCTGAAGAGGCTGCAACGAATTATTTATTGCGAAACGAATTGTTGGTTGGCGTGAATCAAGCATTTCCTTGCGATAGATGTGGATCAGAAATGGCAGTAAAAAGGCGTCGTGATAGACAAGGAGAGTCTCCCACGAAAGAATTGCCAAGTAACCAGGTCTATTCGCAAAAGAAATGACTTCTTCCACTATGTGGATTTAAATGGCAAGACCAATAGCCGGTTAAAGCTTGGCGAAATCCTGGAATTAATTTTCATGTTTGTCCATGAGATACCAAACGAAACAACTATACAATTAACGGGTAAATCGTCACATACAGTTTGTGATTGGTTCAATATGTGCCGAGAAGTTTGTTCTTCCATTGTTAATGTAAATAGACGCGGGCAACTAATTGGAACAAATGAAGATCCTGTGCAAATTGATGAAGCGAGGTTTGCAGGCCGTCGAAAATATAACAGGGGTCGCTTGTTGGATGGTGACCACCCGGCTTTGTCAGATGACAGTGATGTTGCAGTTGATAACCAACGTAACCATGGCCAGCGAATTGACGGCCCTTGGGTGTTTGGCCTGCTGAATCGGAATGAAGTGAGGTATTTCGTTGTGGAACGCAGGGACCGAAATACGTTGATTCCAATAATACAACGTGAGGTTCAAATAGGATCTACAATTCATTCCGATGAGTGACCAGCATACTCTAATGTGGGTAATTTGGGCTACACTCATTCAACTGTCAACCACCAACACAACTATGTGGATCCTGCCAGTGGTGCCCACACACAAGGTATCGAGAGATCGTGGTTAGAGGCCAAAATGAAGTTGATGAAAAGAATGAGAGCAGTTTCAAAACAGCATTTACAATCCCATTTGGATTATTTGTCGTGGAAGTACATGAGATCAACTGAAGAAGATATGTTTGTATGTTACCTCAAGGATATGCGCACTGTTCATATGTAAATACTGGCGTTTTATGTATTATTGATAAGTTTTTCGAATTGTGTTATTTTTTGGAATATATGTTCATTAGTAAAATAAACTATGAATTTATTGGTTTTTCTTATATATTGTATGAAAAGGGTACGTAGACCGCATATCTATAGGTAGACCGCATACTACATTAGCACCGGCATTTGTTTATGTGGACTGTTTCTTTTTTGTTCATTCGATATTTTTGACTCACGAATGTATACTTACGATAGATTTTTTAACAGACTAACTACCTCACAATTTGAAATGCTCAGGAGCCACTGTATGATGATACTGAGTGGATTCCCGATCACAACACCGCTTCTGATTGCGAAGAAGAATTGGAAATAGAGGAAGAAAACTGAGAAGATGACCCAATCGATGTGGCTGATGACGATCTAGATTTAAAAAAGAACAAATTTGTGGTTTCCGATCAAACTGAATGGCAATCGAGGCCATGGCGCACCACACAAACTGCAAAACAAATCGTTATGCGCGAAAAAGGTACGATTTATATCTGTAGGCGCTTACATTGATTAGTATACTGTCATGAGGAGAGATACTCCACTGAACACTCTCTGTAATCATTAAACTACCTTAATGGTATGTACACTGTGAACATAATTTGAAAATATTTATGCAAACCTATTTGCTAAGTCTGATGTTTTAAATCTTTTCAATATTCTGTTTCCTTCGCCATATAAATTGGTCGTCAGTTCATTGGGATGGGCTTTTATTCTATCACTATATTTAACACTTAGTTTTGTGATCACTTCCCGCACTGTTTGAGTATTTAAATCTTTGTGAATAACTACATTTGGCACGTACCACGATGCATTCACTATAGTTCGCAGCACTTTGCTCTGGAAACGTTGCAGAATTTCTATATTAAGAGTTGCTAGCTGCACCCCACAGTGGGATACCATAAGTCCAAATTGGTTTAAGTATCGTCTTATAGAGTAGGAGTTTACTTTTCAGTTCAAGTTGTAAATGTCTACCCAGTAACCAATACATTTGCCGAAACTTTAACCCTAATTGTTTTCGCTTTGTAAATATATGCTTGTGCCAAGTTAGTCTCCTGTCTAAATGAATTCCCAAGTATTTAGTGTCGTTTTCTTGTGGTATCGGGGCACCATTCATTGTTACTGGTGGGCATGTGTCTTGTTTCATGGTGAAGGTGACGTGTACGGGACTTAGTCTCGTTTACTTTGAGTTTCCACCTTCTGAACCAGTATCGCGTATATAAATATATGATACTTGAAGAGTGTTTTTACCTCCGCCTATATTAAAGCATTGTTCTCTACGCAACTCGTACGTTATCGCCTCCAATATTTGGCACCATCGCAATACGTGCTTACTTATTTTATGAATGTTATTTGTAAGACTCACTTTTAAGGCGCCAAGTTTGGCCATGCATCTTGGCACTTCGCTTTAACTTGTGACGAATTGACGCATTTGATCCTAAAACAAAGGATTTAAATGTAATTCTAAAGATGATCAATATACATGGATACAAAATGTAAAAAACTTTAAAGAATTGGTGACTGCTGAAATTTCATCCCTCGCTAACAAAACTTGCTCGAAAAGAGATGGCAGAAGCCATTGTTATTGCCCCTAGTGTCATAAAAAAAATTTCGCCATTTTACCATAGAGAAATGGCTACAGAATTATATATATATATATATATATATATATATATTATATATATATATATTATATATATATATATGGCAAACATGGTACACCCGATTGCGAATATCCATCAACCCAGATGAATGCACTGCTATTAATATATATATATATATATATATATATCCATTATTTATGGTGGACGTTGAATGACAACTTTGAAAGGACGTTCGAGAAATACCGGGATGTATATATATTAATATAGATGTTATGAGACTATTGCGAATTTTTTAGTTTCTTTAAATCGTTATACAATTTTGCTTTAATAATAACATCTGAACGATTTGCAAAGGATGGGTATTGTAGTTTTACTTTTTGTATATATGGAAGTCCAGGTATAGTGTAGTTGTCAATATATGATGCAAATGCCTGCTTCAAATCTCTTTTCTCTGTTGAACTCCAAGTTTCCACTAAAATCACATAAAGAATAAATGCCTCAATTGCAGAATTAAGCCCGAACCTTTCTTTTTATTTCTTGGTGTTTTGACTTTATACTGGTTAGACACCCAGCTTTTAATTTGTTCAGGAGTTCTGTTTTTTAATTCAGGATGTGCATGTACAAGTTTGCTACATTCATGCAAACTGGGCAATGTAAAAGTCTGAAAATCACATAATGGTGTAACCAGTTCCTTCTCTGGGGTAGTCCATGACCTCCTTTGAACAAACTCTTTGTGGATACCTGTTGGAGAACTTTTTGTAAAAAATAATCTTTTACTATTAATCTGTTACCTTTATTCCTTCTGTGCTCTGACGCACATGGTGATGTGGTACTACCAGCTTGGCGCTCTGTCTTCAATGAATCAAAATTTTCTGGAATTCAAGGATTCATAATTACAAATCCATATTAACCTACGCTAAGCTATACAAAAGTAGCGCGAACATGCGTTTTGTGCCGAAGCCCAAAATTTAATCATTTGAGCTTATAATAATAATAATAATAATAATAATAATGTGCGTCAAGGCGTGTGAACAGCCGGACGTTTAGACATTGTGATGAAGTAGCTGCTCGTAATACACGCACTACTTCATAAAATACGAGCAAATAAATTCATTAAAGTGAACTTTGCTCGTAAATAGGTATACAGTGTGGTCCATTAAATGTGCAACAAATAATTATAGTCAACTAGTCTAAACCTAAGTACCGTCAAAAATTGGAGCATGTGTGATAACCATTTGATATGCAATTACCGTGGCTTCAAGTCGAACAGTATACAGGGCACCAAATATAAAATTTGCTCAAGAATACAGTACTCAAATTTGTAAGAATAAATCAAAACGTTATTGAGTAAAGTTGTTCAGAATTAAGAGTTATGGTTAAATACAATGTCATGGCCTATTCAGATTTGCACCCTTTTCTGCAAAAGCTTTGTTTACATAACTCCGAATAACACATTTTAATTATTCTGATTCAATACGTACTCAAATTAGCCACAGCCCAATTAGTCTTGAATAACTATTCTCAAATTGAACCGTATTTGTCAAATTTACATAGATTTTTGGAAGCACTGGAACAACTGTGGCCATTGAACTCGCAAAAAGTAAAACAAAAACCAGCCGCTGATGATGACAGCTTTGCTGTTAACACGTGTTCGAATTTTTAATATATTTTTGTGGTTTATTGGTTTTATTTCACTTTTTGTACATTGATTTTTATTTTTTGAGGTACCAGTCAAATTCATGTTGTTGCAACAATATTAAATAGCACTCTGTTATCTCGCAAATATATACAAACTAAACAAAACCGTCACTTAGAGGAGGAGAAATGTCGTGCAGCATGACAAGCACGTGAATGCATACTAATTGGCGGGAAACCTGTGGACATACGGGGTTTACATTTTGCTATTGTACAAGCTTGGACTTACGGGAAAAGTAATTTCACGAATAACTAAGTCTACAAATGTTCTGGAGATACGGTGTATTACCTAATCAAAGGTTAACCTAATGTAAAATAGATGGCACGAAAATCTTAATTTCCCAAAAATATGGACTTACGGGTTTTTCTGATTAAGCCGACGATATGCTGTATGACATACGCATGATAGAGCACAGTTATATTTTTCAAAAACTGTACATAGGATCACAGTGGCATTTATACCCTAAAAAGAGGACAAATAGGCCTTTCCAAAACAATTTTGAAATTTTCTTGCACTTCCGTTCTAAGGGCAGAATGGCAATATTTGCATATATATACAGGGTGATTCCTATAGTACCTGCCACCGTTTGGGAGCGTATAGGGGGTGCCTAGGGGAAGTCTTTTCATATAGGACACTTGGGGTCGGAAATCCAAAATAAGGGCGCCAGAACCAAATTTATCTTCTGGAATTTCACGCCTGTATGTAGGCAACCCAACCGACCGACGTTTCGCGCGGAGCGATGCAGAGCGAGTTAGCGCGAGGAAGCGACATGGGAGGGAAGGAGGGAAAACGACAGTCAAAAGCAATAACGTTTACAAGTGTTCAACGTGGCCACCGTTGTTCTCAATGCACTTCTACATCTAGCAACCATCCCCTCGAACTCGCGTGAAGACTCCTATGTCCTGGCGAACAGCCTCTCCGGCCATGACGACGCGCGCAATTAAGTCCTCTTCGGATTCGACGGGAGTCTCGTAGACGTGCGCTTCCATTCACACCCCACAAGTAAAAATCTAATGGGGTGATGTCGGGCGAGCGGGCAGGCCACTCCACCGCACCTCCACGGCCGATCCATCTGTCCGGATAGGTTTTGGTCCAAGTGTTCCCTCACCTGCCGCCCGTAGTGAGCAGGGCACCCATCGTGTGCACCGCCGGCCGGTTAGGTTGCCTACCTACAGGCGCGAAATTCCAGAAGGTAAATTTGGCTCTGGCACCCTTATTTTAGATTTCCGACCCCAAGTGTCCTATATCAAAATACTCCCCTACGCACCACCTACACGCTCCCAAACGGTGGCAGTACTATAGGAATCACCCTGTATATATATATATATATATATATATATATATATATATAAAAAATATACTGTATAACATATGTATGATATGTCAAAGTGATATTTTTCAAAATCTGTACATAGGGTCACAGTGGAAATTATACCCTAAAGAGGACAAAAAGGCCTTATATCAATATTACTTCAGAAACCGGCTAAGAAAATTTGTGAACAAGACGTGTACTCTGAAATCTACGTATGTCAAGTACCTGAAGAAATCGCATGTAATAAAAATTTACGCGCAGTGCATACACTACACATGCAAAAGGTTTATTATTGAAGTTAGAGATCAAAGGAATGTGTCCGTCTACAGCAGGTCCAAAAATTATTGCCACAAGAACTCACGTCTGGACAATCATCGGACGTCGCATGGAGGTTTGCCATGAACCGGCTAGCAGATCCGATTTTTTTACATCATGCCAAGCTAAAGGCTACTGACGCATGCCACTATTGCTTGAAACCCAGATGCGACGCGATGCATATGGTAATAAAATCCCCACAAGTCCAAGGAATTTGGCAGTTGGTTCGACGAACTTGTGACGCTCTTCTCTATCCTAGGACAACCACACTTTGCATGGTCATTAGCGGAATAAGAGGAAAAAAGGAAACCGAAGTCTTAGCAAATTTTCTAATATCTTTTGCAAGAAGTACCATTTATAATATTACAATTAAAGACATAGAAAACGACAAACGCACACCAAACTTTAAAGACATATTTACTACCCGAATCAAGAAAAGAATAATCACGGAACTCGCATGGTACAGATCGAAAGACTCTATCGAAAAATTCGTCGCGTGGTGGGGCATCAATAACGTGTTCTGCTCACTAAATAAAGACAAGTGTTTAACATGGGGCGAATGTTGGGAGGAAAACTAATTATGTGCTGTGATCTAAAAAGTGGACCTTAGTGGAGTAGACAAACATACATATACCTACTTACTCGTACGTTTATATTTCATTTGTATCTCGATGGGTGTAATAAATATAATAATAATAATAATAATAAAAGAACTATATCACGGGATACGTTAAAGGTATTGAAAGAACGATATTTGAAATGGGCCATGCTTAAAACAAAACCATTGTCGTTCAAGAAAAGTATATTAAAGAGTACCAAAATATCGGCGGTAAAAAACACAAAAAATTTGAGTGGCTTGAAGTCTGATTCTACCTTCAAAAAAATTAGATCGGAAGCTCTTGCTTTGATTTGTTACAACTGCAACTAGCCCATCCTGACTTCATACAAGAAGTATCATATTTCCCTTTAATATTAAATTATTTAGCATGGAGCAAGTAACCTTATGGAGAAGCAAATTGATAGTGACCTTCCGTAGAGTAAGATTGGGTGAGACGGCGCGGCGGTTGAGATGGCGCACTTCTATATTTTCGTTAGCAAACAACAGATGACAGGTAATGTGCGCTAAACGGAATGAGTTCGCCTTTAGTATGCTATTTAAGGTGGCTGCTGTGTGTTTTGTCGAATTTCAAGTAAGTAATTCATTTATGTTTATTTGTTGTGCAATAAATTTTTTTATGCGTTGAGAAAATATATCGATTTCAGATGATGTAGTACTAGTTTATCATTTTATTCACAGTTATAAGTAAAGTAACATGCAATACACCATTCTAACCTTCAATTATGCTTTTCGTTACAATAGCTGTTGCATAAAATGGTGCGCCATCTCACCCGTCAGTGTCGGGTGAGTCGGCATAATTTTATAAGGGAGAGATGGCGCAATTTTTTAATTATTAAAATCTTTATTCATACTTTCTGATTGTAATAGGTTTTATTTAATAATGCTTTACCATAACTGCGATGATTGAAAATAGTGCAAATAAAATTACTTAGCTTGATAATTTTTAAAAATTATTTGTTTGCAACGCGTTTCGCTTATAAGATAAACATAGTCAGGCACAATTAAGTTATGTAGTATTGAATTCATGATTGTTTCTCTTTATCTAGAAATGCCAACTCGTTACAAACGAAAGGGGAGTTGTACAAGAGCAGAATGCTCCGAAGAACAATTAGTTTTGGCCATAGAATCTTTAAGAAACGGGACCATCGGGGTTAACGAAGCTGACAGACAGTTTAGAATACCTTGCACTACATTAAGAAGAAGACGAAAATCAGGGAATGTTGTGAAGCGAGGCTTGGGACCGTCCGCGTTTTTTCGTGAAGAAAACGAGCGAAAAATGGTTGTCCACATCAAAAAGTTACAGAAAAATGGTTTTGCACCGACAAGAACAACTGTACGCGAAATGGCTTTTCGACTTGCAGAACAACTTGGCTTACGACACAAATTCAACCAGCAAACTGGAAAAGCCGGTTCTGACTGGCTGAGATCTTTTTTACAACGCAATCACGATTTATCCGTTCGTAAATCAGAGGGAGTTTCATTAGCAAGGGCACGAGGAATGAATAGAAAAGATGTTGGTGATTATTTTGAATTGTTGGAAAACACTTTACGAGAAAACAACCTACTAGATAAACCAGGAAGTATTTTCAACAAGGACGAGACAGGATTACAGCTAAACAATAGACCGGGTTGTTATTGCTGAAAAAGGCTCGAAAAATGTAGCGGCCGTAACATCTGGCGAGAAGGGGGAGACAATAACACTAATATCATGTTGCAATGCTGAAGGCACATTTATTCCCCCAGCATGCATTTTTAAGGGTAAAAATAAGAAAAGAGAGTATGAAGATGGCATGCCTCCCGGCTCAGTAGTGTATATGTCACAAAAATCAGCTTACGTCAATGTTACAATTTTTTTAGACTGGTTGCAGAATCACTTCATGCAACGTAAACCACAAGGGACTGTGATCCTAATTTTGGATGGCCATACATCACACTGTAGCTCTGTTGAAGTATTGAAATTTGCTGAAAGTAATAACATCATACTTTTATGTCTACCGAGCCACACTACGCACTTCTTGCAACCGTTGGATCGAGCATTTTTTAAATCCCTGAAGTCGCACTACTATGCCGAATGCAATTTGTTTATGCGAGCTAACCCAAACAGAGTAATAAATAGATTACAATTCGGAAAATTATTAGGTGAAGCATGGTCGAAGTCTGCGACAGTGGGTAATGCTACATCAGCATTTCGCGCGACAGGAATTTTCCCTCTTAATCCTGCTATAATTCCAGAATATGCGTACCTTAACACAGAAGAACCTATTGGGGTGCCAACACTCCAGACACCAGAAAATGATGACTTCCCAAGCAACAGAAAGTAATAAGACTCCCCAGAAAACAGACAATAATGAGACTCTCCAGACCAAAGAAAGCAATGTGACATTCCAGACAGAAGATATTAACAAAGAAAAAGAGACACCGGGAAAAATATTAAACAACATTTGTCCAGTACCTAGCACATCGAAAATTACTTCGGTCCGAAAACGTAGTAGGCAGCTACCCGAGGTCTTAACGTCTCCAGAAAGTATAGTAAAAAGAAAAACTGTAGCAGAAAGGCGAAATGAAAGACTAGAAAAGAAGAAAGTCAAAATGCCAGTTAAGAAAGTCCAGAAGCTGAAGAACAGAGACATCAGTGAACCTTCTTCAGAAAGCGAGGTTGAAGTGGAATTACAAACCGACTCAAACAGTGATGATGATGCAGCTGAGTGTGTAGGTTGCGGAGAGATTTACAAAGAAACAAAAAGTACAACAGATTGGATAATGTGTATTTTATGTAAAAGATGGTTACATGAAGATTGTTCTACATTCCCAGATTATTGCTTGAAATGTGGAAGAAAGTCGCTTGCATAAAATCCTCTTATTATTACATGTATCGAGAATCTAAAATATGTTATTACGATTTTTTACTACGAGCCATCTCACCCACATATATGGGGTGAGATGGTTTTTTGCTGAAAATTTTGTTAATTTTTTTTAGTTTTTAAATATATGAGAATCAGTTTTATCTTGCTACTTAACTGATCTATTACACCTATTTTATGCATATTTTTTAAGAAAAACTTTTTCCTATGAAAAACTAATATTTTATATAATAATTAGAAGAAGTGCGCCAACTCTCCCTGTTTTACCTTATATTTATTTTGATGCAACTGGAGGAATTGTTCGAAATCCATTGAAAAACGCCGGAAACACGAAAAGAATATTGTATTACACTGCCGTAGTGCCGACCAAAACTCAAAGGATCGTAACTGTCTGCAGTATGATCTCCACTATTCATACATCGCAAGCAGAGCTGTTGTAAGTACCATAAAAATGTACTGAAGTATTAAGTACCAGTATATAGAAAAATATAACAAGTATTAAGTACCAGTACCAATATTTCAAGCGGTACTTAAAATTTTAAGTACATAGTACTTAAATAGAACAAAATGAAGTACAGACTATTCAGTACTCCTCACGGTACTTAAATGAAGGATTGAAGTATTAAGTATTGGTAATTACTGAGTACAGGAACAGTGCCGTTACAAGTACCATAAAAATGTATTTCAGTATTAAGTATCGATGTACTTAATAAGCATTAAGTACCAGTATTTACGTTTAAACGCTGTATATTAAAAAAAATTTATTAACACATAGCTATAGATATACAATACAATACAAGACACATTAAGTATTAATATGTAAATAAGATATCTTCAGGAAATAGGAATAAATGTAATTCTACGTTTTGGGAAACTATACTTTGTTTCCTTTTTTAAAAACAATACTTAATTGATAAAAATATTAAACAAGGTAGGTATTACTTAATATAATTTAATTTGTTTTAATCTTATCAAAGGTGTTCTGCTTCGAGTGAAAAGGTCCAATATAACAAATAAACATGCGCGTTTGGGAACGGCCCAAATGCTAGCGTATAAGAAACAACAAACGTTTTATGTTACCTTAAAGTAAAGCACCTCGCCAAGTTTCAGACGAGAGTTAATAAACATTTATTTGAGATTTGCTTTAAGGACTACCAACTTTTCAAAGTTTTGGTCACTTAAAGCATTTCTTCTTGGGGCGTTCACAATTTGAGCAAAAGAAAAGAGGCGCTCCACGGACGCCGATGATGGTAAAATTGTGTTGAACTTTAAAAAAACCTGTTTGATATATTTATAATCGTTCAACATATCTAAAGTAATTCTTGTATCGTTCAAATATTTCAAAACTTCTAACTCGCTCAAGGAAGCATTTGTATTAGCATCTATATCATTTTTCAGTCTTGGTAGTTCTATTTCGGATTCGTCCTCCTGAAAATCGAAAAAAGGATCATCTGACTCCGATACAACTGTTACTTTTTTTTTTGTTTCTTCTATAAAACTTTCGACTGCGGCAACGACCCACCCTTGGATTTCTTTAAACGAAGGAATATCATTTGTAGTCACCTTAAAGGCACTGTACCATCTCATTTTAAATCTTGGACATACAACTGCCGCAATCACAGCAGTTTTTGAATTCATGTTCAAGGAAAATATATCTTTAAACCTTTGCTCAACGGAATTAATTATTGCCTCCAGAGGTGAATATAGTTGTTTTATCTTTCCAGACGATTTTATTTTTTGCAGTTTTGTTTTCATGGACACTAAGCTCGGAAGCAAATATCCATAATATGTGTTTTGCTCCCCTTGAAGGAAATCCAGTGTTTCTGCAAGAGGCTGCATGATTGTGATATATTCTTCTAGAAATGATACTTCGCTTTGCTTAAACCCTGGTATCATGAGCTTATCACACAAAGGGGCTAATTTTTCTTTTATAGAAACGATTTTACATACAGCATCATATGTTGAATTCCACCTAGTAACTCCTGGGATAGTCAAATTGTGACCGAGAAAATGCTTGATTACTTCTGCAGACTTTGGGCGACCGGATTTGTTCCATAACTTAGAACACTTGGAAAAAATTTGTGTATTTTTTAGTCTTAGTGCATTAGATATCTTCAATGAATTATTATAATCCGTTGTGGCTATAAGATTTATGGTATGTGACGCGCAACGCACATGTTGAGGTAAATATTTCTTTTCTACGTCCACCTGTGTTTCGCTTAAATCAAGAGTTAAAAACGTACAGTACTCATCGTCACTTTGAATGCAAGGTTTCATCGTATCAGAATTATCTTCCTCGTCGTCTTCTTCTATACCAGTATATTCGTCATTTATTGTATCGATGTTACAACCAAACTCTTTAAAACATTTGACAAAATTAGAACCATTGTCAGTCACAGTGGCCAAAATTTTATTCGTATCAAGATGGAACCGTTTATGTATATCATCTAAAGCCTCAGCAACCCTATCGTAAGAATGTGTACCCGCAAACCTTGAGCATGCTAAGGCCACAGAACGTCGTTGCAGATCTTCGTTGAGCCAATGACAAGTCACGCCTAAGAAACTACGGCTTTTTGAAGACCAAATGTCTGCCGTGGTACACACATGGCCTACTTTAGAAATTTCCAGTTTCAGATCATTGCAAGTGTTCTCATACATTACATTAATTTTTTTAACTGCTACTGAGCGATCCATAATATGAACATTCATACCTTCGAACATGTTTTTAAAACTATCATGCGAAATGATTGAAATTGGTGACATTGTGTCAATTATAAACTTTATTATTCTCTCATCAAACAACTTTTGCGTGGGCTTTTTTTTAAAACTGAATGAATGGTTACTTGCTTTTTTAAGTTTTTCTCTGCAGAGGAGTCACTAATACTTAAAGTACGCTTCTGTTGACGATTTAAAGTAATCTTTTCTGTTTTATATTGAATGTAGCAATCATACTTATTTGAATGCTTTTTTTTAAGGTGTTTGAGAAAATTGGTGGTAATGTTCAAAGAACCTTTAATTATCGCCTTATTTGGCAAGCAGAGTTGGCATTGCGCTTGTATGTGGTGGGTCACTTCATCCTACAAAGAATAGCGAAATTAGTAATATTGGCGAAGTGGCTAGCATTCTAACTTATGCTTTGTAAGAAATCACGCTCGATTAGCCAATCACATGCTTTTATTTCTCAGAATTCACGGTAACATGCAAAAATCACATCGCATATAAAGTAGGTGCACTTTTTGTGAACCGGTTGTAACCAGAAGCTGATACTGATATCAGCAGGGCTGCAGTCGTAAAATTAGCAGAGGGTAGAAATTTTGTTTCTATTCCCGGGACACCTGATACTGGAGAGCCTAAAAAACTCTCAGGGGCAGCGCGCCGGAAGCTAAAGAAGATGAGGCAGGAACCAGGGGGCTTCAAGCAACCAACAAGTAATAATAATAATAGCAGAGGGTATACTGTGCACGCATCGAAATGATCAGAAGGTTTACTCTATAAAAACGGCTGTATAATTTCATATTTAGCATTTGTAATAACTATAATAAATGGATTAAAAATTAATGCATGTGGTTGAGATGATAGATTAATCGGTTATTTTTGTCTGATTTAATCAAAAGATGTTTATAGTGATATAATTAGTACAGGATTACGCTGTTATTTTAAATAATAATTGTAAACATCTTCCCATGCCGGCCGCCGCCTGCAATGCAACCTGTTATATTAAGATCTTCTTTGTAGGTATTACTGTATTAGCGAGGGATATTGTAATGCCATGTCATAAAGCATAGGTACCTAAGACCTGCAATAAATAACAAAAGGGGTGCCTTGTTTGTTTTGTTAAGCAAAATTTCAGGAAAGGCCGACTTACACATTTTACTAACATGATTCATAGTTCGTTTATTTCAGGACTTATTTTGTGTACTTTCTTTTTATAAGAAGGTATACGCTAATCCGTCGATCACAACCAGAAGGTATACGCTGTATACCCTCGACTGCAGCCCTGGATATCAGGCGAACAAATTATGCCAAACTAACACCTTTCTTGTTCAGAAGAATCCCTTTAATTACTCCCCTAAGTACCTACTAACCTATACCACCTTATAGAATAGATGTCAGCATTTGCGATTTACAGAAATTAGTACATAGCAACACAATCACAACTCAAGCGCAACATACAGACATACCGTATTAATAATTTGGAAGAATTTGCCATCCAGAATTGGTGGAAGTTTGTGCTTATTTAGTGATTGACCATGGCTTTCGTCGCTATTGCTTAAGTCACTGGTACAGGTACTGCTTGTAGTGGGTAACGGCTTTGGTCGCGATGAGGACGCAAAGTAGTGCTTGAGCGAAACTTGCTTTCTGCTGTCTGCTGATTCGGTTTCAGGGATATAATCTGAATCGTCTTCTCCAGACGCATGAAATGGGTCAGGAAGACTGTCCATGTCATCATCATAAGCATTCATTTCACATTTGTATGTGTCCATATATTATCAAACTAGAAAAGCAAAATAATGGATATGAATACCAATTTCACAACCCATTCTTTATTAGTAAAAAAATCTCAGTAAAAGCAAGAGGACATTAATTTTTACTTAGACTTTATTAAACCTTATAAAAATAAAGGTAAGGTACTCACCCATATACTACTTATACCGTTCTACAAATTACACAACACGACGACTGGAATAATACTGCTTCGCCATCGATCACACAGAAACGAAAGATGAAAAATGAGTAAGGAATTATTTTTAAACGCGCAGCGCAACTAAGCAAAATGTAAGCTCTTGTTTTGACTACCTGATTATATTCTCTAACGTCAGTATTTTTCGAATGAAGCATTGATATAAATAGGATAAGTACTTAAGTACCTACATATTAAGTACCTTGGTACTTGTAAGTTTAAGTACTCAATCCATTAGTGTTAAGTACCAGTATTTTTGGATACTTAAAGTAATTTTTTACTTAAGCAACTATTTTAAGTACTTTGGAATATTCAGTACTACTTTTAAGTACTAAGTACCAGTATTAATCAAAGTACTTAAAAATTTAAGTATAAGTATCGGAAAATTTGTGGTACTTAAAGTAAAGTACTTAAAGTACTTTTGGTACTGAAGTACGTATTGCAAGTACTTTTGGTATTCAGTACAACAGCTCTGATCGCAAGCAATCTTGAAAATATTTTAGTCACTATTTAGAGTTGTAACCGATTTTAGTTTTGCTAACATTCATTGATGATGCCACAGACACTTTACACGCAGAGGAACAATGGAACAAAAAGTCAAAGGTAATATCAAACCATTTTACAGCCAGACACATAAAAAATTTACACGTGCCAAAAATTAGTACCACATCGGATCCAATTGAAGCATCAAAAATAGGTGACGATATAATAATTTTAGATGATATTACACGATGTGTATACTGTGGAAGGGGCAAGTTTGCAAAAACTACAAGTTTTACAGAGTGCGACCAATGTAAGCAATGGGTACATCAAGTTTGCGAACCAAACGGTAAGTGGGAAACGGAATTTATTTATAAATTGGGCACGACAGGCTTTGAAAATGAAAAAGAGTGTGCTTCGACAACTTTTTTGTTTGAGAAGTGTCGATCATTGCTAAAAGATCTTCCACGAAGTAATGACCAGCTACTTCAAATAGAACGGTGTACTGCACAGCAAAGAAATTCCGAAAAATGGTTAAGAGAGCGTAAAATTAGATTGACTTCTAATTTTGGAAGAGTTTGCAAAGCTAAGTGTAGTGCGTACAAGAAACTTGTAGATTCTTTAATTCAGTCCAAGAATCTAAATGCCTCAAGTATTAATCATGGGATAAAGTACGAGTCTGTGGCAAGAAAAATGTACTGCAAATTAACGGACGTAGAGTGTTTACAAGCTGGATTGTGTACCTCTGAAGATTTTCCATATCTCGGTTCTTCACCAGATGGTTTAATTGGACTAAATGGTGCAATTGAAATTAAATGTCCCTATAAGTTTCGATATTAAGATCCTGACAAAGCTAATTTTGATTATTTGACAATGGGAGTGATTAATACAAATCACAATGTCTATTATCAAATACAGGGTACGTTAGCAATACTAGATAGAGGGTGGTGCGATCTAGTTATATATACATTCAAATGCGTCAGAATTGCCAAAAATGATCAATTTTTTCAAACAATGATACCGAAACTAAAATCATTTTATTACTTCTACCTTTGGCCTAGATTAGTATTACCTGCAACTATTTTACCGGAAAATACAAGATGGAGGACGGTACAGGACATAAATTTGTTACCAAATGGATTAGTAAATGACACTAATTATTATAGGTTTCTGGAGAACAGAAGAGAATACACTGTGGCATTTTTCGAAAACATTGCGTGCGCAGTTAAAGGATTGCTATTATCAGACTTTGAGACCCTAAATCCTGGTGAATACGTTAGCAGCTTTGTTATTGATATTCGCTTACAGCTCTTTAACGTACAAAAATATTATCAAATAATAACGACAGAAAAATCTTCAATAATATTTGGTGACAAAGTTGTTAATTTAGATTATTTAATTAAACTTACTAAATTACACCAGAACAACATCGTTTTCTCGATATCTGTAAATGAACATTACATGTTGTGTATAGCCGATACCAAAAACAAAACATTTACAAGAATTACTCCACTGGGAAGTTCAACAAAAAAAAAAGTGACCTCCACCTTCAACGATTTTTGAGGTTCTTGGAAAAGTACAACAATATTTACCCTGAAACTATGTCTGCTGCAGGGTGGAGGACGTACAATTTAGATCACATGATTCAGAACGACACCTACAATTGTGGAGTGTTTGTTATACACTTCTTTAAGAACATCTGCCAAAAAAAGAGCCTTAAGAAGTATGAAGATATTAATGCATGTAGGAAGCAATTGAAGAACATACTACTGCCGCAATCCAGTAATGTAAAAGAAAGGTGCATCTACTGTAACAATACCGCCAAAGAAGATTATATTAAATGTCGCACTTGTGAAAGTTCTCATTTCAAATGTGTACTAACAAACGTTGACATTTTAAAAAATATAAAACCTATGTCTAAATTTATAAACGGTATGTGCCAACTATGCATATTATATTAAGTTGACTTCATTCAAAGATTAGGATAATAAATATAGTTTAGTTTTGTTACAATGATCAGGATCACATTAAAAATATCCAAAATCGGCATCGACTACATATGTTTATCCTATGTACACTGTACTTCAGTTTTTGAAATATAACACCGATCATCCGTATGTCATACAGCGCATGCAAATATTGCATTTGGGCCCTTAGAACGGAAGTACAAGAAAATTTCAAAATTGTTCTGGAAAGGGTATTTGTCCTCATTTTAGGGTATAAATGCCACTGTGATCCTATGTACAGTTTTTGAAAAATATCACTGTGCTCTATCATGCGTATGTCATACAGCATATGCAAATATTGCCATTGCGCCCTTAGAACGGAAGTGCAAGAAAATTTCAAAATTGTGTTGGAAAGGCCTAATTGGCCTCTTTTTAGGGCATAAATGTCATTTTTATCCTATGTACAGTTTTTGAGAAATATCACTCTGATCTATTATCCCTACGTCATACAACATATCCAAATTGTTTTCTTGCGCTCTTATAACAGACGTTACTTACACATTCTTTAGGCATCTTGATAATTTTTTTACTTTATTTTATCATATGCACAGTCAACATCAATTAATGTGGTTAAAGCAGATGCCCCCCAAGTAACGAACTCCCATGATCGATCGGGTGTTTTCGTATTTTCGGCTGCTATCTCTGGCAGCTGTCTTCACTCCGGTCATAATATTTGTATTCAGTAACTTTACAACCCCAGTTAAAAAATAATTATAAAATATTAGTGTACCTACAATTAATCAATTTCACTTCTGATTCGTTCACTATTGACCACCCTTAATTTAAAGTTGGTTTTAAAATATACATTTGTAAAAAAAACGCAATACACAAAATAATATAACACTGGCAAAACTCTGGTATACCCGTGTCGAGAACGTACCTATGATGTAAGAGCGAAATGGAGCTACGGGAAATGTAGAGATGGATTGTATTCACCGGCGTGAAACCGCGTCGCTTGTAAGTGAGTAAAAAGTTCGTTGTTTTACTTTTAATTACATATTTTGGTTACTATTCCAGATACAATTATAATTCTCAGTGCAATGTAAAGATAAACGATGAGCGAAACTTTTTTTAAGAGTAAAACTTTTTGATTTAGGCTTCCGTTTATTAAATAATACGATGTAAACGCAAAAGTTGCTCAACAGAGCGATTCCACAGATTATTCGAGCATTCGAGAGTATTTCAGCTGGAGCACCACCTTCAGATTTATTGAGTGTGGGAACGAACATCGTGCGCAACAACCAGTAAGTCTGACGGAAGTAACTTCAGGCCGTAATGTGGCTTGCCAAAGCCGGAAGGCGCTTCACCTTGGCTCAAGGAGGTGCCGGCATAAAATTGGAACGATACAGAGAAGATTAGCATGGCCCCTGCGCAAGGATGACACGCAAAATCGTGAAGCGTTCGATAAAGTTTTCGCCAAATAGATAGTTGTCTATAGGACAAATTATCCAAAAACTTCACTAAATTTGGTTTAAGATGAGGCTTGATTAGACCTCTCCGAACGCCGCTATCTGCATGGTGGATGTCGGCTAAAAGTTTCCCTGTATCCGAAATGGCTTCTATTAGGGCAGAATTTGCATTGCTGTCCCGAAGAAGTAAACTCAAAGCTTTACCTAGAGCCGATAAACCCGCCTTCATTTGATTCTGTTTTTGTATTAAACGAGAATCACGGTCAATAACGTTTTTGTTCAAACAATTCTTAGCCTCTTGATTTAATATTGGAGGCTCAAAAGCACAGTTCGCAGGTGACGGATATTTTGACGTTAATTCTTTGCGATTGTCTGGCGTTAACCCAGATTTTCGACAATAAATTGGCTACCTCGGCCTGAATTGGTTGTCCTTTAGAAGTGACTTCGCACACGTTAGACGAAAGAATTTTTAAAATGTTATTTGGCAACAATTCAGTCTCATCTGATTTATGAACGACGACGTCGGACAAAATGCAGGAGGGAGAAGCGCGGTAGAAAGTTTTTTGCTTTTAACGCGCTAAAATTCGTGTTCACCTAGCACGGGAAGTAGTATACTACGTATTATTATCATTCGGATGAATCGCTAACATAATTAACATCGAACTTCACAGGTAAGTTCGTTCAATTTAGTAATTTTTAGGGATATCGAACTGAGATAATCACGTTTGAAGTTTAATTCTTCCGTAAGACCCATTGTAATTGGAGACGTTTGATAATTTCTTATTACTTTCACTGTACAAAGAACATTTTGATTTATATGCGAAAAAATTCGATATTTTTTCTTCTTTCCGTACATGTGCTTAACTTTTTTGCGTTTTGTGCACTAATGCATGAACCGATTTTGGACGGCCTTGACATTTAGAATCAGTATATGATTACCTTTCATTTTTTGTGAATTTCAGCTTGTGACACCAAAACCCCCACAGAAGTCATTTCTAGACGACTTTCTGTGCAAGGAGCGCTCTACTATATGCCATATTGAATTTCATGCAATTCGGTTCATAACTAACCCAATCTACACGTCCGTTCCTTGTACATAGCTGGTATGACAGATTAGTTACGTTTACATACCTGTTACATTTCACTGAAGGCTCTAAAGTATATTTATTTGTTACTTTAATAGTACGTAGCCGGTATGTTTTCTCTAACAAACATGCAGTAGATTTTTAAGGGCACATAATTTAACAAGTTCAGTATGTAACAAGTCCGTTTATTGTGAAATGTACTCCTTACGTGATGAATTTGAGTACCATACAAGAAACATTTCAATTTAAAATTGACAATTAATAGTTTGGTTATAGTATATGCGATCCTGGGTGACGTATATTTCTTTGTTCTTCGCGTTGGTGAATGCTTTGGAATAATTAGCGCCACTCAGGCCCTTGTATTGTAGACAAATTGGCATATCTTTGATTTTAACATTTGTAAAAATGCCAAAAAAGTTGTTTTGCGAAGTCTCGAGTAGGCAAAAACGCAGAAGAATTCTGAAAGAACTTACAACCAGTTCGATTGTACCCGAATGTAATTGTGTAAATGCTATTAGTGCTGATACATATGCTGATTGTTTGTCATTACCACTTAGTTCGAATCGCAGCACTTCGGGAGAATTTGAAAACACTAATTCTTTACTTACCTCCGTGCATAGTACAATAACTTGTGATAGCAGTGAAATTAGTGACACTACTAGTATCCGTGTTTGTGAAACCAACTGTGAACTGATAACGGAGAACCATAATGAATCCTTTAGTCTTTCAGAGTTCAAGAATAAATTGCGTTCTTGGGCAAGTTTTCATAGTGTTTCTCACATGTCAATTAGTAATCTTTTAAGCATTTTAAGAACAGTAAACGTTTTAAGTGGACTTCCACAAGACGCACGAACACTTATGCAAACACCCCGAAATGCAACGGAAAATATAATTGCTTTGGGTGGCGGTGAATTTGTGCATATGGGATTTGTTAAAAGCTTACAATCTTCATTACAAAAACATTACACCTGTCTACCAACAACAGTGAAAGTAAATTTAAACATTGATGGACTACCACTAACAAAAAGCTCGTCTAGTCAATTTTGGCCAATTCTCGGTTCGATAGTGGACTCATTTTATACAAAGCCATTTGTAATTAGTGTATATCATGGTTTTCACAAGCCTTTATCAAGCAAAGACTTCCTTTCTTATTTTGTACAAGAAGCAAGAGATATTTTAGAAAATGGGATCAACTACAATGGAAGTATCATTAATGTGCAGTTAAATGCAATCATATGTGATGCACCTGCCAGGTCCTATATTAGTGGTGTAAAAGGACATAACGGGTACTTTGGTTGTTCAAAATGTATCCAAGAAGGGGATTATGTTGACAATCGTATGACATTCCCGGAAATATCTTCGGTTTTAAGGACTGATGAATCCTTTAGAAATAAACTTCATGTTGAACATCATAAAGATTCAAAGGAAGCAAATATTTTAGAATGTCTGAATATAGGAATGGTAACACAATTCCCTATTGATTACATGCACGCTGTTTGTATTGGAGTCACAAAAAAGTTAATTTACTTTTGGATAAATGGGAAAAAAGATGTGCGTTTGAAGCCTAATGATATTCAAAATGTGACTAATCATCTAAGTCTATTGAAACCGAGCATCACTGGTGAATTTAGTAGAAAACCTCGCAGTATTACAGAATATGAACGGTGGAAAGCTACTGAATTACGCACTTTCTTACTGTATACGGGTCCAGTTGTATTACGAGAAGTTCTTCCGGGCGATTATTACGACCATTTTTTATCATTAAGTGTGGCAATTAGAATCTTATGTGATAAAAATTTGTACATAGTTTTAAATAATTATGCGCACACGATCCTAGAATGGTTTGTAAAAAAATATTTTATTTTGTATGGTGAGCAACGTATAGTTTACAATGTACATAGTTTATTACATCTAGCAAATGACAGTAAATTGTTTGGCCCATTAGATGAATATAGTGCTTTTAAATTTGAAAATTTTATGCAAATTATTAAGAAGAAAGTGAAGAATTCTAGTCGTCCGTTACAACAGTTGTTTAATCGATTAATGGAAGAAGAAAGTTTACAAGGAAAGTCAAATTGTACATCTGAAGCAAACAAAATGACTTCCAAACTGTCATTTGAGGGTTTCACAATTTCCCAAAAACCACACGATAACTGCTTTGAACATGAAAATGGAGATGTAATGGAAGTTGTGAACATTTCAATGAAAGATTGCATGATTAATGCTCAAAAATACCAGAAAGTAGAGACGCTCTTTACTGCACCATGTAATTCTGTGAAATTAGGAATATGTATTGTAAAACAATCCGATTTAAGGCAGGATATTGACACAATTGACAAAAAATGTGTAAAGAGAAAGTGTTTGAAGTTACCTTTATATTTAAATAGTTCCGGCAGTGTGAATGAGCATGCTATTTTTCCGTTAATTCATAGTGACGGTCAGAAAGAGTAAAAGAAATTAATTAGATATGGGTTTAAAAGTGTTATACTTATGTGGTGAATGTGTACATTAGATCAATATATTTTGCCTATACATACTTTTTATTTAAATTTCAACAAATAACTTTAATCGCTTTTACTTTTGTAATCTCATTTATATTTATATATAGTTGTGCACAATGGAAAAAAGACACCAGTTCCAAACAGTATGCTGTAGTTCGCTTCGACGACGAGTCCGTATCGGAGGTCCCTATTACATGGCTCTTCGACAATAATCGCAGTAGTTGGTGGCCGCGCAATTCAAAGGTTGCGACCAGCTACATTAATCGTTATTCACCCCCAGACCCAGATAGTTGGAGTAAATACAGTGTGGTAGCCGTTGAAGCAATTTGTGGTAAGATACCTACATTTTTTTATAGTTCCCGTGGCGTATAATTGATCTTTATAGATTCTCTAGAAGTAGCAAGGAAGAAAGCTGAAGATATTCACTACAGTGAAGGTGAAGATAAAGATCGGGGACGTGGAAAACGATTGGTACAACGGAGCACATTACTAAGCAATTTCATCGATGGCTCTAATAATGGATCAAGCGATAGTGATGTTGAAGCTAGAACGAAACGTAAGAATCTATTAAATATTATTCACTTTTATTAATACTCGGTTAATTTTAGGAATACTTACCCCACCTCCTGAGCTGCCACCGGATCTTGACATATCCTCAATGGAAATGGTTATTTTAAACAAAAATACAAATATTGATACAATGAATGAACAATGTAAGTATATCCTCATACATAATACATACATTTACTTCGCCATCAATGGTAGTTCCACACGGAGAATATGCAGAAGATGAGTATGTCGAGGAGTATGCGGAATCTTATGCCGAGTCCCAAGAAGTACCAGTAAACCAATTTAATTCCCAATCCATTAATCGTAATGGAAATTATGGTAAGTCAAAAATATTACACAACATTTTGAAAATAATTCTGTTTTATAGAAATCAGTGTGATGCACAAAATATTAGAAATGGTAACAGAAATAAAAATTCAAGTCAACGATATTGCCAGAAATATGCAGAGTTTCAAAGTAGACAAGCAGCCCGTTGAACAATACGACATATTTACCAAATGCCTGCCCTTAAATAGTTTTGAAGCGATTGAGAAGTTTGAGGAATTAATAAGCGACCTTGAAATCAACAAATTATTTGTAAGTTAATAATTGCATAATCTTTCTAGTTGATGGTTCTTAAGTATAGAATATCTGTGAATGTACTGATTGTATTTTTCTACTCATGTTAAATAATATATAGAATGATGCGTTTTCAATTAGGGATAAATTATTCAAACAATGAAATAGTTTTTGATTATTCATCTGTTGTACGCTAATCGTAAAGTAGAAAAGTATTATTTCACTCATTCAAAAAGAAATATTCTTACACTACTCACAAAAACTGTTCGATATGAGTTTTGCGCTCCTGGGAATTAGCCCTATTTGGTAGGAAAGTAATTTGTGACATGATTTCAGTTTTGAAAAATCAAGTCTGCCATTGAACCGTTTTTTGGATGAGAGGCACACACAAATGTTATTATAGAAAGGTTATTCTGATTGAAAAACTTAGTAATGGTGTAAAATTTAAGCCAAATAGGTCTACTTTTGAAATTCTTATGAAATCCTCAATTTTATTTACTACATAGAATATTTTAGATAACATATCAAAATCTTTCTATCTACTTCAAATTTGCTACATGGTCGGTCATTAATTGTTTAATCAACATTTTATGTTCCTCGTCTTTCTACAAGCATTTTTTTACGGACCTTCATTTGCTACAGCCAGCCATCCGCCAAAGTGAAATTAAAAGCTACCTTTTTACAAAATAAATTTGCAAAAATGCGCTAAAAACACTAAAAATCAAAGTAGGTTTAGAACTTTGAAATTTTGTACGTTTTTCATTCTAATAAAACTTTTCTTCATTTGTGTGTACTTCGTCTCCTAAGAGCACTTTTGCTAAGTCGTTTTTTGAAAATTTCAAAACTGAAGTTATGCCATAATGAGTTTCCAAACAAACCAGGCTGATCCCCAGATGCTCAAAATTCATTTCCAAACAATCCTGTATATATAATTTTAATGCTAATAATTGTTTATTTCAGAAAACATTTTTAACTACAATTGGTGGAAATGATTACAAAGATAATATAAACCGAGTTTATAAAATACTGTTTACAAATGAATTGGGAATGGGTTGTTCCTGGTTGGGCCAGCGAAATAACAAGCGTATGGTAGACTTAAAAATTATTGCTGCTGTTAAAGGTAAATATTTTAGCAAACTTTAACCTTTTATGTTGTATAGCGCATTTACATTAAATCCCTTAGAAATAATAATAAGGTCATTGCTACTCTCATCATGATTAGTTGTCCTTCATAAAGTGCTCATGATATACCTATTGATACGCTATTTACATCCAGAAAAATGTATTTTTGCAATGATGACCATGAGTGTGTTGGTGTGTTTGTGAATGTGTTTACTCCAAAACGAATATAATGATCGGAGGAGTAGTCTCATCTTTTATCTCTGAATATTATGAAGAGCGCGTTTTTTCCATTCAATAAGGCATATGGATATTTTTGGGAAAATAAGTTTGAAACTTTTTAAAGGCATTTGCATTGCACAAATCTATCTTTGCGAGACACTACGTAATTAAAAAAAAATTTTTTTTCTTAAATTTGCAAAAAATGCGCTTTCATTCTTGTATGAGATATTTCATAATAAAAGACAATTTTTTGGCTTAAATTTAAGCACTGTCTGCATCTATTTGCATCATTCCTCACATAACCATGTCTTCTTTCATGAAATGTTTTTCTTGTTGTTAATAATAGAATTTTATTCTAGAAATAATCATTGGACAACACAACATTCAACAAAAACTTATAGAAAATTGTTCGTCAGAGTGGTTTCGGCATGCGCGCCAACGTTATCAGCGAGAAAAAAAATGAAACTTACTTTTTCATCTATTTGTCCTCACTTTTATTTACTAGTTCATATAATATCATACATGTTTGACCAATAAATGCGTTTTTGAGATAAATAGAATTTTATTACCCTGTGTATATATCAAATACATCATTCTATTATATGCAGGCAATGTTTTGGGAGAATGTAATGTAGACAGCACTTTACAATGTCGCAAGTATGTTACATACTGATGTAATTAATATGTGAAAGTGTTTAAGTAAAAAATATCGCCTTGTATTATACCTGAGATATACCAGAGTAATGTAGCAGGTACATGATTTTCCAAGTGATTTGTTGCTGACATTGAGTAGTCCCACAATAGCACATGTAAGTTCCATGGTATGTAACAGATAACATTGACATAATTAATTTTATGTAACAGTTATATACATATGCTGTGACTGTGTAGACTGGGTAACTGAGATGTCAAAACGGCCTTCTTTATTTTTTGTCCTACATTCCTAATTCTCCAACTCCGAACTACAAATTTTATGAAGAATCCACATGCAACGTGCTAACGGACGGACGGACAGACAGACACTGCAAAATTATAAACTCGCTAGGAGCTCGTTAATAAACGTCACGAAATACATATTGTTTATAATTTATTTATTAATTTACGCAACAAACCGTAACTAATGCAATTTTTTTATTCATTTATAATACTTTCTTTATCAGAGCGCTGCAGGTCACCTTCGCTGTCGTTCATGAGACGGTCCAACTCGACGCTGCATTCCGCTCTATACTTTCTTCTAACAAAGATCGATTCAGTGGCACATTCTTCGATATTCTGTTTTTAATTTCATCGCTCCTTTTTTTCATCGACTCCGCCGATTTTTCAAGTAATGTCACCAATGTCGCGTCCAAAGAATCTGTAGACAAAATAGGTAGATTGTAGTATAGGTTATATAGTAAAAAGTCTAAATTTTAACGAGATAATAAACTACTTTTCTATCATGTTGAGCATTTTTTATATACTTGTAAATCAAGATCAGATGTGCAAAGTTTTATTAATTTTGCTAATACAGAGTACCTATAACCCAGATAGCACAACTTCGTACTATGGACAGCCAATGGACGAATATGTTAGAGCCATAATGCATACATCATACATCCACATAAGGTAATATTTTGGTCCATATGTAGTCCACTTGTCAACAAGTTGGACATTCTAATTACGTCCACTTGATACATACAGTGTACGTCCCTGTAAGATTGTATCATGTATGTCCATACATATTCATATTATGGATGTCCATAAATTGCATACGGTGTACATCCCACTTTTGCACGTTATTTAAACAAAAAAATAGAATATGGATATTTATTAAATGCAAATACAGAATATTTATGTATTCAATTATGTTTCATTTTTCGCCCTTTCAGCGGCCCGTCGCAGCCATTTGGAAATTTCTATTTCCACATCCTTCTGCGTTGTTTTTGGATTAAATCGTAATCCAGCTTCTACACACACAACACAAAATAAATGTAATATGAAACACAAAAGGAGTACACAATACTTACGAATCATTAGTTTGTTCAAATGTAGCTCCTTAAACGCCTCCTTATTTCTTTTACCACAATAACTGTATGTGGAAGCAAAACCATTTGTTATTAACATCTTTCCGCATCGATAAATAAATTCATACATATGTCTTCCGCCCAATAATGACACTTCACGAACCTGAATATCGAACAAATTACAATCACATATTATCTATATCTTAATACATACTGCCTTTTCAAATGCATTCTAATTTGCTACGAAAAATTCTTCAAAATGCGCTAAACTTTCCTTAGAATTTAGGGGTAATTCAAATTGAGCAAGAATCGAGTTTTCCTTTTCACTCTCTACTGGGACTTTCAATAAACTGGCTTCTATGTTATCTAAACCTTGTCTGATGTCTGCCACAACTACATGTAATAATTCTTGCTTTCTTAAAATCCGTGTCAGCAGATCTAAAAAAAATAATAGGTACCAGCTCAATACACGTTAATACTATTATTAGAAAAGCAAATAGGCAACAAATTGAACAATAGTATAACAGTTACATACCATACAGATCTGAATTCGAAATGTTTCGACCTGTGTTTCGAGAAGGCGGCGTTTCCGTAGAAGTTACAGCAGAATTATTATTACAGTTTCCTTATAAAAATTAAAGTATAAGTAGCATAATGAAACATTTTAATATAATCATACTTGTGGTTGCAATTCGATATGGAGTAACCTCAATGTCTTGGATTATGTTGACCTTTTTAGTTGATTTGGATGGACGGTGTCCTTTATGCTCAAAACCATTATTTATATCAGGTTTTCTTGAAGGCAGCTCTAAAATGTAATCATAAATCAAGTGATAACATTAAAATTACATTACCATTGAAATTTAACTCAGGCGGAACGAAATCAAGTGATTCCTCCTCGACAGAAGAAAAGCTAAATTCTTTCTTCAATTTAATTTTTCTTTTGGTGCTCGTTTTGTTTTTTTCCTCGAAAGCTTGTGAATCTGATTCTAAGTCGGAAGTAGCAAGAGCTTTTTCAGCCTTCTTTTTTGCTACAGTGAAATCATCTGAAAACATATTATCTACATATCGTAACTAAAAAACATTTGAACATATACGACGTACCAAAAACATTATTTTTAAAAGGAATTATATCATACGTCTGCCAATCACAGCCAGGACTCGACTGCTTCTCAACGGCATCCAATAATTTCTGACTGTTTAGTGGATAGGACGGCCATACACATCTATTCCCATTCAACCACGACGTAGGTACCGCTTCCACGGAATTGTCACTGGGAAATTTTACCACTGACCAGGTTGCCATGTTGTCTTTACACGTCATTTTAAATCGCCAAACATAGAAACAAAAAAAGTTTTAACATAAACTATTTATCCTACAGTAATGGGATCAGGGGAGTTCAATATTTTGATGGAGTTGATTTTGTTTTGGGTCATGCTTATATCCCCATCAATGTAAAAGATGCTACAACTTTAGGATTTAGTAAAAATTCACCACCCGTTTTTATAAATATGTATACTTAAGGCTGGAATTTCGCCTGTCATATGTCAATGGTTAAGTATAGGGAAAACATGCTTCCCTATTTCATGTTCATATCTGTAACAAGTGGGAATTTGGTTATGCAATTTTGTATTTAAGTTCCTGAAACATGTCTACTTATAATGACATGTTTTTTATATCAATATCACTCGCAATTCCTGTGTAAAATGTTTTTCCATATTTTGAAAGGAATGAAAGGTATCGAAATTTGACACATTTTGAGTCCAAAAATACTTCATTTTGTAAAGACATGTTTCAGGGACTTAAATATAAAATTTCATTCCGACTCGTTACAGATGTGAACATGAAATACGGAAGCATGTTTTCCCTATAGTTAACCATTGACATATGACAGGCGAAATCCCACCCTTAAAGTGTAATTTAAAGGATAACTTGCTGCAAAAATGTCAAAACATTAAAAAAAATCCTGCAGAACAGCTACTATACCTAAATTAACTAATGCAACAATGGAACAACAGTAATTTTATCCGATGAAACTACTTTCACAACTTTGTTTGATATTTCTTTAATACTCCAAATATTAAGTGGTGCTTCTTTACTTACAAGATATATTCCTAAGCTAGAAGATTTGCAAGGTTGCACATAAACATCACTCATTTCCAGGTATTTACTACCAATAATACATAACTCATGTTCCTTTAAAATGATATTCTTAACGCAAATAATACTACCATCCTTAAGGCGACAACAGTTGTCAGCATCTGATAGCTTTATTGTAAAATTTTTAAATTTAACTTGCTTAAATTGTGTGCACGAATTTTTATTCAACAACGGCCCACTATTGTGTTCCATGCTTGGTTGAGGATATTCGATAGAAATAGAATTTTGTAAAACTGTACAGGAATCTTCTTCCAATTTTCGTTTAACTAACTGAACCAAAGGAGCATCGCCTTTTCGAATTATCTTTTTAAGTGACTGCAAATAATTTTCAAATGGGAAACTACTAAAGTTTTGTAAAACTCCAAACTTGTTGGTATCCTCAAATAAGTGTATCAAATGGTGAATATTATGTGATGCATGCTGTTTACCATATATATGTATGAATGTTTTAATAAAATATTGTAATAACAAGTGCGCATAATTTCCTAATTGATGTAAAGTACTCTTACTGGATAACACAACAGTCGCTACATGAAGACTTAAAAAATTCATGTACATGTTTGGTGATAATATTGACTGTAAAATTATTGGTCCCGAATATAATAAAAATTGTCGATATTCAGTGGCCTTAAATCGATTTACTTCTGACAATGACCGAGGTTTACGTGCAAACTCACATGCTGTGAATGGTATTTGGTTAATTAATGATTCCGATATATTCTGAATTTTGGTGTATGGCAATTTTGTAGGTGGTTTCCCAGATACCCACATTAACAATAGCTTTCTCATAACGCCTAAACAAATGAGATGCATATAATCTAACGGGAAATCAGTTATCATGTCAAGGCCCGGAATTGACTCTAATATTGTAGTACCGATATGATGATCTTCGTCCACTTTTGCTCTAAAATCTACATCTCTGCGAAATTTAAGATTAGTTATCTGCGGAAAACAGACGCGATTATCAACAAATTCACCTACAGTAAAGCACTTCGTACAAGAACTATAACCAGCATGACCTTTGGTCTTTTTTATGAATGACTTCGCTGGGGCATCGCACACAAAAGCAGCTATTTTAAATGAATATGTTATACCATTAAAGTTAAAACCATTATTGGTTAATTCCATTGCTTCATCTACAAAGTCTTTTAAAAATACATTAGATTCCTTCGGTTTATCAAGACCTTGATAAACTCCTATTAATTCAACATGATTTACATGATCATATAAATTACACAAAATTGGCCATAGCTGGCTGCTGTAACTTTTTGCAAGCGGAAGTCCATCTATGTTAACACATATTTTGATACCGCTTTTAAGGGTTGTGCCGATATCTCCTATGCAAGTCAACAGTTTCGTGACCGCTTTCATAATGCCAACATAGAAATATTTACCTGGTTCGATAGACTTAAAACTTAAATGACGAGGTGTGTGAAGCAATGTTCTTGCGTCACATGGAAGTGTAGCATCATACGATGTTTTTAACAAAAGCAGTAAAGCACTTACAGCTATATGGGGTATATTGAATTTGATAGCCCAAGAAGCTAAATGAGATTGAAAGTTATTATCAGAGGGTTTACACTTTATGGAAACATCGTGTTCAACGTCTGATTCACAGTCCGAATTAAATAATGTACTTTCATTTTCATCAGGTGGTGCAAAATTTGGGGAATGTGACCTTACAATACCAACATTTTTTAATGTCGATTCGAGCAGAGTATCCTCCGGAATATTAGGTTGGGGTGCGGTTGAACAAATTTTTTCAACTTCCAAATCAAGTCGTGACTTCGCAATTCGATAAATAATTAATTTATTAAACGATAGGCTAAAAATCAACGTATGTTGCTTTGAGTAGAAAACAATAATGGCATCAATACAATTTCAGTTGTCATTGATGTAATTTCTTGTTATTCGATAGGTAATATAAAATAATGAGCTATGAACATTTATTAAATCCACTACGTCTTAATTTGCTTGTAAGCATAGACCTACCTTTAAAATCGGACGAGCTTGTCGATTTGCTAATTAATTTAATAATTTCGGAGCGTAATCCCTTTTTAATTGTCGAATTTCCTTCCCCATGATGCTCGACAAGGAAATTGAATTTGTGTATCAACACCTTTTCTAAAGCGGATTGATCCATCTTCATTCCTAGTCAAATACATGGCATTTATACCGATTTAAAATTTAAATAAAAAAGTTATACTTACGATTTAATCAGTATTCTGTTAGAGGCGCCAAATGCATCTTAAAAATATCCCTTTCTAATTTAGAGATATGCGCTTCTATAGACATCACAACTTATACTTATTATTCCACGATAATTGTAGACAAATTTTGTGGTCGTTAGCATCGTATTTTCCCCTACTTGTTTACGCTTTTACTGTTAAATTACCTAGCTGCAGTAGGTAGGTACTAATTCAGAAAGTATATATTCATTTTCTTTATTTTCAGAACAGGTAATATGAAAAGCACAATTTATAAAGGGCCTTAAAGGTCGATTCACACATAACAGTGACGTGACAGTGCCGTGTCCGGCACGTACTCAAACCGACATGACTAAAAATATTGTTCTATGAATTATAACGGTACTGTTCACACTAACCCGGCGCGTGACAGTGACAGTGCGAGCAGTGCTGTCACAGTGACCGTACCGTGAAAATTAGATTACTTGCTAAGGATATTTTTTCGTTTTCACGGCCGTGATTTTATGCTGTCAGCTCGATTTCTTATAATATATTTTCATATTTTCTTTGACGTCAGAATATGAATGGCGAAATATTAATAGAATTAGTGCGAAAGTATAATGTATTGTACGATCTGTCCCATTAAAAATATATGGACACAAACTATAAAAATTCCATATGGAATAAAATTGGAGTGGAAATGGGAACAAATGGTAAGTCAATATATATTTTTTTTTAATTATTACATGGAGTGAACAATCATATACGCCTTTACTGAAGACAATTCACTTCCAAGGTAGAGATCCAGCTTCAGAATTGAAGTATTGAGTAAGTGTCTCTCGTACACGAAATGCAGCTCTCATTGCGTTTCCTCCTTGTAATTGTAAATGTTGTAGTGTGTGCTCTTCATTCTTGAAATCCATTTGCTGATGAGCAACGTAGTTGTACGTACGGGTATCATATTTTTTAATATTATGCAACAAGCAAGTAGCTGAAATTATATGATCTACGTGTTCAGGAAAAGCCTGAATGCGTCGGTTGTAAAGTCTAAATTTTTGACTCAAAATACCAAAAGCATTTTCTGATGTTCTCCTTGCGCGGCTCAAACGATAGTTAAAATTACGTTTTCGGTCGTCTAAATTATCTCCTGGATAGGGCCTCATTATGGATGTTTTCAAAGGAAATGCTTCGTCGGCTACAATAACGTATGGCAGTTGAATATTTGTGTTTGGAAGGGTAGCATCTTTTGGTACATGCAACGAGCCGCGCTGAAGTGCTTTGCCTAATGCTGAATTGGCAAAAATTCCTCCATCGCTATTTTTACCGTATGCCCCTACATCAATTGGCAATAAAATTATTGTGAGCGTCTACAAGAGCCAGCAGCACAATAGAAAATGTCTTCTTATAGTTTATTAAAGAACATTGATCCTGGGTTTGGTGGAGCCTGAATATTGACGTGTTTTCCGTCTATTGCTCCGATACAGTTAGGGAAATTCCACATTTGATAAAAATCATTAGCGATTGTTTTCCACATTTCTTCTGTTGGAGTTGGCATCAACTCGCTCATCAAATTTTCTGCGTTTATCTGGCAGGTTTCGCGTACAATTTTGAAAACTGTACTATGTCCCATGCCGATAGCTGAAGGAAATGGTGTTTAGAGAATCGCCTGTAGCCAAATACCTACCTGAAAGAATAAACACAGTAAAAGATGCGGAAATTATCTCAAAGGGAAATGGATTTCATTATTTTATTAATATTAGTATGAATCCTGAATACCAAGTTCACCCAAATATTCTTTTCTTTGCGTTTCAGGATCTTCATGTAAGACCAGATGGGCAAATATTAGGGACAATTACAGGAAATCCTTAAAAAAAACTAAAACTGTAAGTGGGCAAAAAGCCAAAAAGGTGAAGTTATACAAATATGCAGAGCAGTTGGGCTTCTTGAACAAATTTTTTGAAGATCGGGATACTAAAACTAATATTGAAGACCAATCCAACGACGACGATGACGATGATCTCATCGATAAAGACGACGAAAATGAAAATACTGAAGATACCACTCTAACAGCAGAAGACACTGCTTTGGCTGCAGTACAGTCACAAATTCCAACGAATAATTCAATACCTAGAAAAAAGGGCAAGCACACATTATGTAATGCAACCCCACCGAAATCTGCCGCTGCCACTGTCATGGAGTATCTGGTGAAAAAAAATGAAGCTAAGGCACAGCCTATAGCAGAACATCCAGTTGACGCCTTTCTATCCGGAATTGCGCCAGCTCTAAAAAAACTAAGCCCTATTTACTGGCATTACGCGAAAGCGGAGATATTCACTGTTGTCCAAAAATTTGAACTTCAAATGCTTAGTGATGAACAGCAATTTGGTGGACCAGTATCTATGGCGAGAAATTCGTCTGCTACACGCATTCAACCTCCTTCCCCTGTAGAAAGCTATCAAAGTCAACACTCATCATCAAATTCTTCCAAGTCTGTATACTCCAACCAACCACAACCTTCTCCAACAGGATGTTTTCCCCCTATGGAGGAACACCAACGCGGAGGGTTTTATAATATGTTATATTTGCTTTTGTATCTATCTTTGTATGGTTAAAAAATAAATGTTTTTTGTGTATGTCATAACTTTTTTTTTATATTTATATTTATTGCTTATAATTTTATACTTGCCTCAAACAAACGGCCAACCGTTCTCTTGGTGTGATAGCTTTTCTCCAGTGCGTATCTTTCTTTGTCATATAACCTTCTAACTTTCCCAAGAGTAAATTGAATGAATTTTCGGACATCCTGAAATATTCGAAAAACTTTGCTCCACCCTCCATCAATTCTTTATATAAAGTCATAAATTCGCCCTCTGTTGCGCGTTGTTTCCATGCTGGATGCATCCGCTTGTCCTTATTGGCTTCATCGCGTTCTGCTTCTTCTTCATCCAAAATAATAGCCATCGCCAATAGTTCATCTTCCGAAAATATCGGCATATTTTATGTTGTTACAACCGCACTGTCAAAGCACTGTTCTGTGTGAACAAAATGAATATTTTGCTCTGTGTCGTTGCAATCACGGAACGGTCACGGCACTGTCACGTCACGGTGGTGTGTAAATTAACCTTTAGTGTACATCCAGCTCTTCCTATATAATGCCAAATAACAGAATTCTTCTCCGCCTCAACAATGGTAAAAACTCTTGACATTTAGTTTTTGTATCTGGAATTCTAACTACCAGCATCGATTCTCCATCTTCTATGTAGTCTACATTCATTTTTAACAATTCCTCTGATCTGCAAGCTACAACTTCCTCCAATATCCATAATTGTCACAATCTACAACCACAAAGTTTGAAAGCATGAGCATGCAATGTTTTACACAAACTAACCTTTATCAGCCAGTGACATCTTAGGGGATGAAAGAAGCGCCTTCATATGCTTCGTCACTTTCGTCTTCAATATTGTTAGAAGGGTTTGCAGGCATGATTTTACCAAAATAAAAAATTCTTAATTTTTGTTGACAGTTACAAACAAGCGAGCGTATCTGTGACATCCTAAAAAGCCTACCTTACTTTTTCATAGTTTTTATAGCATATTAATTTTCAAATGGATTCAGATCGGTCGGTATTGGAAAAAATAGTATAAGTAACACTGGATTAAACTAGTTTTTGTTCCCTCAAGAATTCTTTCCAACATTCATCATTCTTTCAGGAATATAATATAATATAATATTAATTTGTCATGATATTTAAATCAAATTTGTATGTAGGCACCTCGAGTAAAAATAAAATTTTTATCTTTTAATAGTGTCCAAAAATAGGAAACGATCTAGCTAGAGGATTGCTTTAGTAATCTATTGTAAATTGTAAAAATCGTTTCGAACGGTAGCTACAGTTAATAAAAGACAGTACTCTAATTCTGACTCGTTTCACAGAATTATGAAGATTTATTTATTTATTGTTGACGTTACAAACCCCACCACCTTTTGGGGAAGAACTTTAGAAACTTTATGGGGCGACAGAAAAGAGGAGTTGATATCTTTTGTAGCATTGACTCGTTTACACGAAAAAATAACACAGGTTTTAACAACACCGGCTTTACTAACAACCATTTCCAACGGCTGTTTACACGGAAGTTACAAAGAGGTTTTATCAACATGGGTTTAAAATGTCTGCCGTCAAACGGCGTTATAACACCTACCACTACCACCAATAGTAAATAATGAAAATTACCATCGAGCGTCCGAGCGAGATTTGAGTATGCGAGGTTAAGTTATTTGTTGTAGTGTTGTTGCTGCAATTCGTTTTTTTAATGAGATGTCTCAAAAAATTCTTCAAAGCGTCCTGTTCTTGCATTGGCAAAGATGCGTGCAACTTATTACTAACTGGAATAATTTTTTTGAAATAATTACTGCTAGTAGAAGATTTTGTAGTTTTATACTCCTAATATACTTAATAATAACTACGCCTCCCAATGCCTTGCTGCAGCTTGGACCTGTATTACGAATAAGTAATAGAAATATTTGGACGAACAGAAGTAACGATTGGTGGGAGAATATTGTGATGAATCATTTTTAGCGCATTTTTGGTAACAAAAAGGAGCTTATCATTTCACTTTGTCCGGCTGGCTGGGCGGATTGAAAAACTTTTGATCTAGACATCGTAGAGAGGTCCGGTTTTTTGCATTATCTCCGTCTTGTCGAGTTATTGGCGCAATGGACATTCATTAAGCCCGTAGTGGTTGCGTTTAATTAGAATTTGCGAAATAACTAACGCCGCTTGAAAACTTGTCCGTGCGTATATCGATTTTAAGCCGATCCGATTGACGTAGAGGAATGGCTTTTTTATAAAATATACTTTTGGCATTGCCCAACTACGGTCACTAATATGACTTATCTAGGATAACTACTTCAAGGTGAAAACTAATCAAAATCATAACACGGTGATGAGTTTTACAGTTTGTGGTATAATTTTGATTAAAAATATCGTATCCAGGTCTGAGCGGTTTTTAGCGTAACACAACGAAGTTGAGGTAACGCTTATGTGCTCGTGTTTCCGTCTGTCCGTCCGCCCGTCCGTCCGTCCGTCCGTCAGTCCGTTCCATCGAGATCTCGGCCCCTGGGACACCTAGAGACTTCGGGTTTTCGCTAATTGATAGCTGCTATGGTCTATATTTGCCCATTTCAGACAGTTTTATTGCACTCTCTATTTTGCGCAGACTGCGCATTGCCAACTTTCTTATTTATGGAGATATTTCTTTGAAATTTTAACCACAGATGCTTCTAGTAAAGGCAAACATTTCGCACATAGTAAAAATTATGT